GCAGGGGAAGGAATCCAAGGTGCTACACCAATATCTAATCTAACATCTTCAGCTTATTCTTAATTTAAGGCCCTCCCTGCCTCTATCAAGCATATTAAGAGAAAACTCCCATGGCCATTCAGACTAAAATACCTTGGATTTAAAAAAAAAATAAACTGATGCACACAAGCTCTCCTGCGCAGGATGTGCAGTAGCGATAGTCTTTTCAATCTGCTCTATTCTAAGGCCTTAAATGGAAACTCACATTTTCCTGACAATAATACATACATCTATTTTCAGATATTCCAGTGCAAAAATGATCACTGTGCTTATTCTGCACTGGTAAACATGGGCATTCATTGAAAAGCATACAGGGAAAAAACCAACAACAAACCAACAAAAAAAACCACCAAGGAAACAAACAAAACCAAAAACCATCCCATTTTGTCAGTAAACAAAGTCTGACAACCTAAAGATACAAAGCTGATTTTATCTTTCCCTCTTCAGCTACATTTTTCAGGAAATACACTAGCTAGCATGCAGGAATAAACTGGGGTGCCTTTCTCTACCTCAGCGACTCGGAACAAACACCAATGCTCTACCAGTCAACCCTGGCCCGCCTCAAAAACTGTCTGGAAGAGAGGCATCAGTAGAAGACATGCAAAAACCCATTATGCCTTTCAAAGGCACATATGTCTCACTTAATGCTTCAAGCAGAAGCTGTTTAAAATCCAAGAAAAATCTTGAAAGCAACCCTGCATAGGCATGAGGTACAGAGATCATCAGTTAGTGCCATCACTGCTGACAAGAACCAGCCTTTAATATGCTCATGTGGCCTTTGGCCATTCAGAAGGGATCCTGCCAATCCATTTATCCAGTGTAGCTAAGTGCAAGAAGCACATTTGACTATCAAGCTTGGGAAGAACAGGAAGCTCTGGATTAGCTTCCTACTCGGCAGTTCAACTAAAGCACCACTATCCAGAAAGAAATCGTTCTCTTTATATAACTCTTCAGCTTTGATCATTGTTATCTTATTTTAAAAGCACAAGAGTCTGTCACCAGACAGAACACGCAAAGACTAACTACATCCTGCAAAATTTCTTCAAATTTCTAACTTGGTTTTCTCCACACAGTGAATCTGATAAAATCATGAAAGCAACAGGGCTAAAACTTCTAATACCATAGCAACTGAAGAAAGGGCTGAAAAATTCAGCTTGGACCAGAAAATATTTCACTGTACAGTACTGAGAACAGAAGTGAAGATAACCCCCTTCTATACCATAGTCTGGAGCTGCACTACTTTAGATAAGCAGAACCATCTGGTAAGTATCCAAAAAGGCAATACCAAATGAAGAGATATAAGGCTCCCTTCACCCTCCCTAAGTCATATGTCTTCAGATAGAGTAACTACAGGAGGTTTGGCAAATAAGGATAAGATGGCCAATTTGATCTACAGTGTATTTTTATTATAAGGGCATTCAACTGACTAGAAAGTGTTTTCACTGGATATTTCATTGGTTCTGTCCTCAGAACCACTGCAGAAGTGAGCTACTTTACTGACTAGAATGGGAACCTAGGAAAAAGCCTCTGTGCCTGCAGTGAGCCTTCAGGAAAATCCCTCTGAAGCTCTAGCTTAAACAGAGAAATAACTACTCTCTAATAGAGAATGAATGTAGCAGAGCAGTATTTTAAAATAGTGTTGGTTCTGTCTAGATTTCTTCTCTGCAACAATTAAACACGTAAACATTTTTTATGAAGTCCACTAGACTGTTCCCATGCATTTAAAGTGATGAGGGCAGGGGTTACACAGGGAGAAAACATCCATAAAAAGAGTTAAATATCATCTATTCCATTATGGAAGATTTTTCAGAAGTAACTTTGGATTCCTTAGACACTGAATGGTCCCTTTTTCCTTTAGCCAATATGTTTAGAACTCTGTGTATGCATCTCTTAAACTTATACTAAATACCAGCATGTTTAGCTACATTTACGGTTTAGGAACTGGAGAACCAAAAATATTGTTCGTATTATTTCATGCTAAACATTAGTAGCAAACACGGTTGAATAAAGTTAATATTGGTATCACAGTAATGTAGAATTCAATAAACTGACAAACAAGAATGGTCTAGTATTACATTTTCTAAACAAATACATTGCTAGTTACACTTATTTTTCTTATATTTCTCTCAATTGAAATTATTTTCGTTTCTGAGCCAGAACTTTGCCAAGTTAGTTACAGACTTACCTTGTTGCGCGTTTTTACTTTCAATTTAGTCTTCTGTTTCCTTTTCAATTTTTTCTTGCTAAAAAGTTTCTTACTTCTGAAAAAGAGCAGAAGAGAATAAAAGAATTAAACTCCCTTCCATACCCCATAGTAAAAAAGCAGCACCAGCAGAGAAAAAAGTCAGAAGCCCTCTAAAATTTTTTCACCCAAGCAAAGGGAACCAATTTCAGAATTTCAGAGTATAAACCAGCATATAAAGGACTTAAAATGATGCTTTCCTAATGCTGCACAATTAAGAGCCTTTGTCTCACCAATTCAAGCAGAATACACGCTAGGACAGACAAGAAAAATCCCTATATTTTATACTAGTTTACCCTACTGTTTCCATTACAAATCCATTAGTGCTATACTAATGCTAGAATCAAGAGTTATTGATGATTCTCAGTTATACAATCCATTAGTAAAGAACATGTATGTTTTGTGACGCCTTTACCACACAAAGAGTCAAGCCTTCTAAGACAAAAAGGAAGCTTTAAAAGTGTCATTTGGCAGAAGATTCACTTGGTGGAAGAAACTGCAACTTTTGAACAAAGCTTTTTTTTTTAATTTTGTCTGGATTTTTCCCACCCTCAGCTTACAGACTTTTTGTTTCCGTCCCTTTATATACAGGTCTAGCTAAAACACATCCTCCAATCCTCTTCTGCCCACACCTCATTGCTATCACATTCCTTTTCTCCTCCATTTTACTACCCACTAAAAAAAAAAAAAAGAAACAATGAAAAAAAACTTTAAAAAAGACACCATACACACACACACAATTGTTTTGTCACCATCACTGAGATTACTCCGCTTCAGATGCATGCTATTTTAACGTACTCTACATTTCTCTGTTCTGTCCAGATTACAAACCCTCCACAAAAAAAGGCAGATATTATCTGTGCAGCATACAGCTCATCCTATACAGGACTTTATGCAACAGCTACTAGCGTTCCTCTGCGCCACTTACAAATTACTGAAACAGTTTACAGTTCAGATTAGTTGGAAAAATAAAATTATGGAACCTGAAAAATCACAGACAGTAAGGAATTGCACTTTCAGGTAACAGACTGGTAGGAGATTGAGAATCAGTAAAATCTTAGTATTTCAGTCAGACAACTTTGTTATAAATACACATTTTGAGGGACTAAAACCATATTGCTTACTATCCTCTCCTGTACAGCATTCAGACTGCAAGAGTATACAAGTCCACAGTCCAGCAGTCAAAAGCTGGAAACTAAAGTTTGACCAATGGCCACCAGTCAGAAAACAAGCTCAAACAAAGAATCCCTGCAGAGTATCCCAAGAAAGCCGCCTGCTAGAGACTTCATCACTTTTCCATCTTCGCTTATTAACAAAAGGGAGGTACATTCCTTATCAAGACACTTCCTGCAGGAACAAATCAGCTCACACCACTTTTCTTACAAGGAACTACCACCATTTTCCTGGAGTTAAGGGAAGTGTTTCAGTGAGGGGGAACCCTCCCCAGTACATTAAAGCTTATAAAGAGAGATAATCCTCTAAAGTTCCTTCAACAGTAAAGTTTCAATATATAACAGTAAACAACCTATTTAAGAAGAACAGGGAAAGAAATTTCATACAACCTTTAATGTCCAAATTTCTATAATTAAACCCCATAGTCAGTTTCACTATTTAATTATTCTTACATTGGACAAGTTTTTCTTCCTTATTAGACTTTAATGTAGTTAATTCTTATTCTGCTGTCAAATACAAAGAACAGTGCAGTCTCTTCTATTCCGTAGCCACTCCATCATCTTCTCTGGACAAAATAACCTTTTATGAAACTTTTATCCTAATTTTAAATGTAAAAGTCACAATTTATTTTGGACTTCTTCTGAGCGCTCTCAGTCCATACCACGAGTAAACCACATTAACCAAAACTGAAAACAGTACTTATTATATGCTGTTGAGAAGAGGAAGAAGAATTGCCTCATATGCCTCCAAGGTCACTTTTAACTGTATTCCAGGTATAATTTGGCAGCTTCACAGCAATATGGAATGACAGATCTATGTAACCCAGAGTAATTTGAAAACAAAACCTCCAAACTGAGCTTCCAATACTCCTTATATAGTTGTGCTGTTAATTATGCCTTTTAAACACAGTACAATTTGCACTTACCGGAGACAATTTGACAAGCATTGCTTTTTTTTTTTTTAAAAGGACACTAACTCAAGTCGCCAAGACATTTCAAATGTAATCCTGCCTGCCAAAATCCTTGCGAACCTTCCAAATTTTTTACAGTCTGCCAACATTATAAGCACTTTTTCATCTTGTAAATATTTCACAGGACCAACCCCTGTATTTTCATATTTATTTCTGTGAACGTGGCGTATATGTATGTGTGTATATATATATATATACAGCTTTTTTTTCCCCTTGCTAAGATTGGGGTTTGTCAATGATACCTAGGTTGTCTCCAATTAGCAAGCAGAAAAGATCATCAGTGGGCTTACTTCCTCTTGCAGATTCCAACTGGTGATGCTATGATCTCCCTCATTCATACATCAACCACTAAAAGTGCTACCAAGTATAAACTTTTCCCAGCACTCCGCTGTAGCGGTCATTATCGTCAGCCAGTTTTAGACAAGCAATTTTTTCACAGGGAAACAACTTGGGTATAGAAATGCCATGTTGAGAATTCACATTTAGCTCCCCATCTTTTCTTAAAATCTCAAGGATACAGAAATAGCAACATTTTTGTTGAGAAGCACACTTTGCCCCTGTATCCAAAAGGAAGTTCAGAACTAGTAAGTGATTAAATAAAAAAAAAAAACCACCTTCATAAACAGTTCTGAGCAACCTATCATTACGATGCAAAATTCTAATACTAATACGTTTAAAATGTATCTGCATATAACATAAAAAGATATATATTATTATCCACAGTTTTACTGTTATGTTTCATTATGCCAAGAGGTATTAATATACAGATAGAAAGGATAAAATATGAGCAAGTATATTCATGAAAAACAACATTAAGCAGATTATGAGTAATTTCCTGTTGGAAACCACATGTGTTAATTATAAGCCTGACTCTTCTACTGCCTGAAGATTAACAAGACCCGATATGGCTCGGTTGGACTTTTTAGCTAAATTATTAATTATGGTTTTGGTTAACAATTGTAAATTGCTGTAAGCCATGATTTGTAAAGGTCCTGAAACTCTACGCTGACAATCTGCTTCCAGTGGCAAAAGGCCTTAAGCCTTTACCTTTTAACTTGGCTGTTGATACCATTTCGTTCCCACAAACCAAACACTGATTTATCAGCAAATCTTAGGCAGGTTTTCTGCAAACTGCTTCAAGCCATTCTAACATTTGAGACTAAGTTAGCAGTTTTGAAACGGACCACAAAGGAAGTGTAAGTCAAATGAGCGCAGAGCATGAAAATACCTTGACAAGAACATACTTGTGGCAAACAGACCCAAAGAAAGAATGAATGGTGCTATTACAGCCTTCACAGAAAAAAAATCTGTTGAGAATAAAAGCAAAGATCTACGATTTTCAACCCTGGAATACAGAACAAATGCCTCAATATTTGCAATATTTGCTGCATTACTGGAGGGATGCTCCTCAGTTGTCTCAACACCGCTGCTCTCACTCTGTTCAGCAGAGCTGTGGAAATGCAAACAGAGCCTTCTTCCCTCAAAGTCACAATAGTCCTGAACTGCAATTCAGAAGCTTCAATTCGAGGAGGAAGCTTTATGTGTTGAGCGTTTCCTCCCCCCACACACATCCCCTGTGTTGTTACTGAATTACTCAATATGGGTTAACATTATGTCAACCTTAATAGCTCTTCTAAGCTGTATGTTATACTAAAAGTGTCACTGACAAGTGGAAAGATCATTACTCTGTCTCTGCTGCTGAGGCAGAATAGGAGCCACAGAAGTGTTACTCACCTACTGTCTGACCTAAAACCTTTGCTTCTATCTGAAATGCGTAACCAAAGATCACAGTAGACGGTACGGTGTTAGACCCAGTCATTCTACTGTTGATTAAATCTTTGAGTACGTTTTTGAAAAACTAGTGAATTCATTCAGCTCCATACTAGCACCTGCTCAAATTTTAAAATCTTCCAACTGACTTTGTCTTGGTCTTTTTGCCTAAACTTGCCTGCTCTGGTTTGATGGCTAAGCATCTCCAGGCAGAGGTATACTGCTGACACGTTGACAGGAGAGGTCTATCAAAGTCACGCTGCATCCAGACAAATGACAAATACACTGGATTATTTTGCTTCCATAGGTGCTTAATTTGCACAGTTACCTGAAGCATCCAAGGACTAGTAGAAATGCTCTTGAGAGGCACCAACCACTCGGTGACAGCAAAATGAAACAGTCAGATTTATGATATCACATAATTCTTTTGTTCCCTCCCCTTGGTGAACTATTTCTGCTGGTGGTCAATTTGGTTGGATAAGAAGCAGCAAGCGTTTGCTCCTCAACAGCCCAAAGTGAAACCCCAAGCTGAAATTGTCAAGTAGCCTGCAGCTGCAAGCTATTATCACTCATGTAGTCACCATGTTTCAGGGTCTTTCCTCACAGCATCGGGTTCCTTAAAAAGCTCTAAATCTGCCAACAGGCTTTACTAAAGGGTAGTGAAATGCGAGTAGACATTGGCTGAAAAGTAATGAATTGATGTTTCCTCCACTGTTTTCTTCAGCTGCCCCATACTGAGTAATAGTGCAAAATCAGCAATACTCCCTTTTTTACATGCAGAAATCACATAACAACTACTGTTGTCTAGAAGCTTTCTTTGTACAGGTACGTTACTGCTATAAAAGATCTGCAAATTACAAAACACGTTATCCAGAAGCTGTCACTACATGATGGAATATCACATTTGCCATAAGGACAGCAGGACTACAGGAAGATTAATTGTTCCAAAGCAGTTAGACATCAGCCACAGTGCCTCATCTTATACACCTTAGGTTCTACTCAGCAAACTGGGCAGTATTTGATTTGCATAAGTCTACATGCCTTTGAGATTTTCAGCTTTGAATAAGCGTATTACAATATCTGATTGCCACATTTTTTTCAAAGAC